CGTGAGGCCCCAGGCTTTGACGCTTGCTCCAAATACAGCCAAAGATAAAACCAGGTATGCCTCTGACCCTCCCGTTCTCAGTTCGGAAGATTTCTGAGGAACGCTGTCTCCCCACCCAATAAGGCACAGCCTGCTGATTTAAAACACATGCAGAATTGAACTGGTTCCCACAGTCAGAACAAAGCGATGCACAATCCCTTCCCCAAACATTTGTTTGCTGCCCCATAGCTACGAGTTGACAGTTGCGAGACATGGACCAGGTTACCGAATGAAGTTGCAGAAGTCTCCTTCTCTGGAAATTCTTTAGCAGAGCAATGTGCTTTCTCTCTAGCTGAGGAAATTCCCTTGATGCCAAGCTGTTGGGGTGAGTTTACTAGCCTGCTTTCTTCTTCCATTAATGAGCATATAAAAAAGAATCCTCAGGTCAGCAGGTCGAGTCCCAGGGGCCTTCTGGGTAGTGTGACCCTGACAGCCATCTCTCTGAGATGATTTAGATGGGGGTGGGGTTGGGGAGTGGAGGGGGTCCTCATGATAAGCCTGATGAGCATGGTCATAAGGCATTTCCATATAAGGCTGGGGAAATGACAGTGGCTGCCTAACCAAGTCAGGTTTAAATGCATGTCACAATTATTCCTCCAGTTCCTGGTGATAGGTTTCCGTTTTAGAGATGGAGACACTGCACTTTTGAGGCTGAAAGGCCATGGTTAGAATATAGAACTCTGTAGGTCTTCGAGGGGATTCATAAAGTAGATTGTAGAGAATATTTTCTTTGCTTCTACTGGAAAGTCAGTCCCACCATAATTCTTAGGAGGGTTTGAGTTTATCCAAACTTTTCAGTTGTTTATCCTGTCATTTTATATGTGCTTACATGACACACAGAGCATGCTATGCTTCATACATCAGAGAGATTCCATGAACACAATTAGTAAGGCAGCGAGTGAGTTTTCCATCCTTCATATTTCCTACAAAGGTTTATCGGTTCCAGAGTACTTTCAAACCAATTGACAGTCTTGATCCTTACCTAGGAGTTCTCTCTCTCTCAGGAACCTGAGGCTCAGAAAGGTGAAGAGATTAGTGCAAGATTACCTGATCCGGAAGTGGTGGAGTTGGAACCAGAAGGTGGCTCTTTTGACACTGTAGCCCATGCTTGTTTCTACTCCAAAGCTGCCTTGTGGTATTGAGTTTTATTGCATCTTCTACATGTTCCCTCCCAGTTCCTCTCTTGACTAATTGCAGGCCTGTGTGGGGTGGGCTTGCCCAAGTCAGGCATGCACTCTCTGGGCACAGAGACCAATAGGGCCGCAAGGCAGGTAGACGTTAGGGCTGGCTTGTTGATTGTTAGATTGATGCTCCATGAGTTCAAAGAAGATTGGAGGCAGCTAATTTCCTCAAATAGTGGCTGCTACTTATTGCGCACCAAATGCCAGATGTTGGGCTAATCACACCTTATTTTGCTGAATTCTCATAACGTCATTAGGAGATGTAGGTCTAAGTAATAGCTTTGTGTAACCAAGGAAACTGGTTTTCTGGCTTCCCAAAGTCACATGACTGGTTGGTGGCAGAGCCAGGTTTCAAACTCAGGGCGTCTGCACCCAGTACCATTGATCTTAGCCACTACCCAGGGATTTCCAAGCCAAGTTGGAAGGACATTCCAGGTAGAGGAGGCCATGCTTATAAATGCTACAGAGACATGATCCAGCAAGGCAAGGGGGTGATTAGAATGGCTGGAATTGTGTAACATGCCCTGGGTCACATAGCCAGAGTGACAGAGCTAGGATTTGAAACCAGGTCTTTGTGGGTCATTGTCATGAGGCCATGCTGACAGGCACTTGGGTTTGCGGCTCACATTCTCCTGAGTCTTGATGGATCGGTGTAGTAAGGGTGTACGGGGCGTTCACCTGGTGATGTGGGGCAGAGGTATTGCCAGGCGTCACAGATGGCTGACTAGCGATGTTCTTGCATACAGCGCATGCCCTCTCTGCAGGGTGAGTCTCTTGGGCAGGCAGGCAGTATGGTGGAGTAGGAAGAACACAGACTCTGAGTTTGAATTCTGGCTCTGCCATCGACTGACTGGCTGTACGACAGGATTAAGTTCAAATTCTCAATCTTTGGAGCCCACTTGCTGTTCCCTTCCCTCCCCAGTCTTCCACTTATTTTTTTATGAAATGGAAATACTAAATGTTTCCTCAGTGGGTTTTGTAAGGATTAAATAAGATGATGTTTGTAAAGTACCTGACACTCCATAGGTGCTCAATATATGGTGACATTTTATAATTTATTGTGGTTATTATTTGAAAAAATTAATGCTTTTCTTTGTTGAAAAATCTGTAATAATTGTGTGTAGCTCTTATTTGAGGAACCCATTAAATAGTAAGAAACAGAATCCTAAATGACAAGTCCAACATTCCAAAACAGGAAAAAAGAAGACTTGAGCATTTTATTTTATTTTATTATTATTATTATTTTTGTGGTACGTGGGCCTCTCACTGTTGTGGCCTCTCCTGTTGCGGAGCACAGGCTCCGGACGCACAGGCTCAGCGGCCATGGCTCACGGGCCAGCCGCTCCACGGCATGTAGCATGTGGGATCTTCCCGGACCGGGGCACGAACCCATGTCCCCTGCATCGGCAGGCGGACTCTCAACCACTGCGCCACCAGGGAAGCCCGACTTGAGCATTTTAAATGGTGATGGACACATTTGAGTTGACTTTTGTGGTATTTAAAAGGTTATTGTCATGTTTTAAGTTGGCAGGAAATGTTAATGAGTATGATCACTCATGCTTTTTCACAAAAGGAAACCATAGAAACAAAAATTAAAAAATAGAATTCATCAATAAATCTGTTATTCTCCAGCTTAAAAAATTACATGACAAAGTGAAAAATCTCCCATCTCCTCCAGCTGTCATTTCTGTTCTCAGAGGCAACCACTATTATCAGTTTGTTGTATATTTTTTTTGTTTTTTTTGTACCTTATTAATATATCATGGATGCATTTCCATTTCATCTTTTATAGCTCAACTTTGTAAAAAAAAATTTAACAGCTTGAGGTATAATTTACATACCATAAAATCATCCATTGTAAATGTATAATTCAGTGATTTTATTAAATTTACACATTGTGCAATCATCACCATAATTCAATTTTAGAATAGTTCTGTTACCCCCCAAAAGTTCCCTTATGCCTGTTTGTAGTCAGTCCCCAGCCCCAGTCATAGATAACTGTTTTCTGTCTTTATAGTTATTCCTTTCTAGAAATTTCACATAAATGGAATCATACAACATGCCTTCTTTTGTGTCAGACTTCTTTCACTTAGCGTAATCTTTTTACGGTTCATTCATGTGGTTGCACAGATAGTACTCTTTCTGAGTACTATACTTTTGTATGGATATAACACACTTGGTTTCAACATTTGGTTAAACCATGGTGAACATTTGATTTGTATAGATTTTTGTAGATGCTGTTTATCAGGTTGTAGAAGGTCCCTTCTATCTTGGTTTATTGAGTGATTTTTATTTTTTATTTATTTATTTTTTGCATCTGTTGAGATGATCATTTGGTGTTTGTACTTTATTCTATTAGTATATGTTATACATTAATTGATTTACGGATATTGAACGACTCTTGCATTCCTGGGGTAACCCCACATGGTCATGGTGAAAAATGAATGTTTTATATGTTGCAATATTGGTTTGTTAATATTTTGTTAAGGATTTTTACACTTAGGTTCATGGCAGTTATTGGTCTACAGTGTCCTTTTCATTTGATATCTTTGTTTGGCTTTGGTATCAGGGTAGTACTGGCCATGAAATGTTGGAAAATGTTCTCTCCTTCACTATATCCTAAACAAATTTGTATAGGAGTGGTATTGTTTATTCTTTGAATGTTTCACAGAACTTCCCAATGAATCCATCTGGTCCTAGAGTTGTTGTTTTGTGGGAATGTTTTAGGTGCAATTTTATTTTTCAAGAAAGACTGTTTCTCAGTTTCTTATGTAGCTTTGGCCAAGTTCCATAGCCCCAAAATGGTTGTTTTTGATGATGTTGTTCAGTTTTATGCTTTTATTTTGCTAAGAAGATTTGCCAACCTCTTCATACTATCACACCCAGAAGATACTTCTCTATCTCTTCATTTTATTTTATTTTTTTTGGCGGTACGCGGGCCTCTCACTGTTGTGGCCTCTCCCATTGCGGAGCACAGCCTCCAGACGCACAGGCTCAGTGACCATGGCTCACGGGCCTAGCCGCTCCGCGGCATGTGGGATCTTCCCGGACCGGGGCACGAACCCGTGTCCCCTGCTTCGGCAGGCGGACTCTCAGCCACTGCGCCACCAGGGAAGCCCCCTATCTCTTCATTTTTAGTGACTGTAGAAAATTCTGTTTTACAGGTATACCATAATTTATTTAATAAAAATAATTTTTCCAATTTTTAGGTATATTCTTAAACAGTTAACTTTTGTTTATATGTAATTTTACTTACTCATGCTAATAATTCACTAAGATAGGTTCCTAGAAGTAGGATTGCTGGGTCAAAAGTTATGCATTTTTTAATTTTAGTAAATACTATACTATATTCTTTAAAATTTGTACTAAATTATCACACTGTTAGGATAATATAAAAGAAGGTCCACTTCTCCCTGTCTTGCCACTACTATATACTCTTAATTTTTAAAATTTTTGCCAATAAGAAAAACAAAGATTGGGATATTTTTATTTGCATTTATTTAATTTTAGTGGAGTTGGGAATCTTTTTATATACTCTTTGACTATTTCTTTTTATTTTATGAAGTGACTTGTCATGTCCTTTGCTTAATTTCCAATTAGATTGGTTGTCTTTTAAATTAATTTATAGGATCTTCTGATATTTTAGTGACATTGAACTTTTATTTGTTTTCTGTTGTAAATACTTTATTCTGCCATTCATTTCCTTCTAGTCATAACTGTTTTCAGTCTTTTAAAAGCCTGTATTTTAATTTATGTTTTTTTTATTTGTTTTTAAAACAGAAAGTTGTACAAGGGATTGATTTAAACCAAATTCGAGGGCTTGGGTTTGATGCCACGTGTTCTCTGGTTGTTTTGGATAAGCAGTTTCATCCTTTACCAGTGAATCATGAAGGTAGGACCATTTCTCTCTCTTTTCTTGGTGGTGGGATACTGGCCGGGGCCCAGTTGGAGCATGATATCAAGTGTTATCACTGTTAGTGAGATTTACAGGTGGAGCATGGAGCCCCAAAATCATGTCCCTAGAGGTTAAAGCTTGGGCAGCAGTTAGTAGGAGAGGGGTGACATTGGGATTAGGTGGATTAGGAAGAGACTTGGCTCCATAATGCACAGGAGCCACAGCAGAAAATCTGATGTAGGATGAACATGGGATCATTAGCTCAGAGTGAGTAGCCTTGAAACAGTTAACTGGTCTGGGCCTTTTCAAGGAAGGGAGTGTTGTCTGTGCCTGAAATTGTTTTGCATATGAAGCTCCTCCACCACATTCATTTGAGTGGGTGAATCAAGTTCACTTAAAGAAAATAGAATAAGACAGACAGGACCATATATCACACAAAAGCTGGAAACAAATGGCCTCTCTATTTTCAATAGCCAGACCAAAGACATTCACATTTAATGACGTTGTTCTAATACACTCTCATTACACTCTCATTGCACTCTCTCATTACACTCATGAGTACTGTAATGAGCTGTTTCAAATGTAAGTGCCAACTTTTATCCACTGTCAGAAATTTCTCATGGGTGTGTCTCTTTTGGGATACTCTAGCCAGTAGTGCTAGCACCAATGTTGCAAACCCAAAAGTCAGGTAGGTAATGTAAATGAATACAGCGTGCCAGATTTGAGAAAAACAACAGCACATGTGCAGAGATAAAATTCAACTGACATTTAACCTTTTGATGAGTGGCAGACATTTGGGAGCAGTGGAGACTGTGGTGCACTGGAAATTGCAGGCTCCATCTAAAGGAGTGTGACTCTGCATTTTCAGTCGGTTGTTGCCAACATAGGTATCACAAGCAAGGCTCGCCTTTGGGCGAGGCTGTATTAAAGAATCCTTGGTAGTGGACACTGCTGTAGCAGCACCTTTCTTAACTGGCGGCTGTGGATACTGGGGCACAATGGGACACCCTGGCATTGGAGTCAGGCAGTCCCAGATCTTAGCCCTGCTGCTGTTGAGCTGTGACACCTTGAGTGAATCACTTAACATCTGCATGGCTTGGTTTCTCGTCTGAAAGAATTGGAATAATGAAACAGTAGCTTTGCTGTGAGAATTAAGTGAGAGCCGGACGCCTGAATGCTCAGAAAAGTTTCTTAAGTCCGATTATGAATTCCTTAAGTTAGGAGAATGTGTCTTACTTACTCCTATGGACCTAATGCATGGAACAGTGATTTTTATAAATGACATGCCCTGCAAAAGTATGCAAATGGATGAATGATTAGAGCACAGTGGTAATGGTGACCATCTTTTACACATACACACACACACACACACACACACACACACACACACACACACACACATTTTTTTCTATTTATGCCACATTAACTACCCCCACCCCCCCGTGTGCCTATCCCTGTCTGATTAAGTGTTGGGGCTTCAGAGACGAATATGAGTCGTCCTTGTTCTCAGTGGCTGACCACTGGCTCAGCTGGCATTGTTCCAGCCCAGGAGGGCAGGGCAGCCCCCGTCTAGACCACTTCAGAGAGCAGAGACCCAAGGAATGGGACTGAACCTACAGACCTCAGCTCAGGAGCAGCAAGCCCTCTCCAGCCACGGAGTGGGCTGCTTGGGGAGGCTGCCAGCACTTCTTTGTTGGCTTGTTTTAAGTAGTGGTCAGGTGATGGTCTGTTAGGGATGCTGTGGGAGGAATTCTCATTTTGGATGGGACTTTAGATGTTAAGAGCCCTAAGTTCCAAGGACTCTGTACCTTCTAATCTGCTAAGACACATGGTTTTAAACTCTGGTTAGCACATTAGAAACAACTGGAGATCTTTTAAGATTACCAATTCATGAGCCTTACCCCTAGGGTTTGTATTCAGTTGGCTTGGGGTGAGGCTAGGGCATCAGTGTTTTTAAAGTTTTCTCGATAATTCTAGTATGTGGAGAATTACTGGGTGCAGATGAATGGACAACTAAAACATTAGGAATAAGAACATCTGAAGTAGAGGAAGAGTTCCTTGTTAAACCTGCTTATACCAGCACCCTCCCGGATGCCATCTTTTTTCTCATTGTAGAGAGAATTGCCTCCTGTTGACAGTTCTCCTATTAAAAGTGTTACCTAGGTTGCAACCTGAATTATAAGTGTTGAAAAAACTGTATTCCACCTAAAAGGTTAAAATGTACCCATTCATCAAATGCATCCAGCTGCAGGTGCCCTCATCAGTTTCTTGCCTTTCAACAGGTTCTATTAAGGTTAGATTTTAACGGCAATGGATTAGCCTGTACTAGAAAATGAAATTCAGATTTTAAGGATGAATTAAGAGGGTCTTTAAAGACTTCTGTTTACCTGATAATGACCCATTCTTGACTGGTTAATTGGAGTAATTGTGAAGAGCAGGGAGTGGGGTCAGGAAATTAACCATCACCATTAAAACCAAACCCATAAGACCAGCGAAACTTACTTTCTTTTGATGGTAACCAAAAAGAAAAAGGAAAAGAAAAAAAAATCCCAAGGAAATTAAGTGCACTAGTTTGAGAACACTGACCTACATGATAAAATAGTCTCATTGTTTGCCTTTTCTTGTTTGGTCTTTCTTCCTTTTCAAGATCAGACCAGTGCTGGGTTGGACAGAGGTGCCATTGCTGTGTGCTTCCTACCTCTGCAACCCACCTAGCTCAGACCATGACTGGGTGAATCATTCCAGCCACAGGAGCTCCTGGGAGGGAGAGGAACCAAGGGAGATAATTTAGGGTCAGGGAGGAAGTTACTACCTAGGCTACTCTGTAACAGAAACCTAATATTTAGATGGTTTTCTGATTCACAGTCATTTCCTTCAAGTACCCCGGAACACCTCCTGTGAGGTGTTGACAGTATTAATTGAATGAGTACAGGGATAAATAATCTGCCCTAAGGTAAACTGACTATGTAACCCTAATTCTGCTCTACCAGTTTATTTCCAGTTCTCTTAAAATATGATGCCTTTATGGGTCTGTGCTCTCTTGGTTTCACGTGCTGTTTCTATTGTGTAGCCCCTCCTCCCTCACTCTGTCTTCACCTGCTTATCCAGTGGCCAGTCATTTTCAGAATTAACCTAAAGCTTTCCTGCGTCTTGGAAGCTCCCTGTGCAGCCTCGGACTCGGCTAACTGGGGGCTTCTCTGTGCTCTTCCTTCTCTCTGTACCATGTCCAGGACTTCTGTCATCACTCCATACAGACGTTTTTCCATTTACCCACGTGTTCCATAAGGGCAGAGACTGTGGCACATTCTTCTTGGTATCCCAGCACCCAGCCCTGTGCCTGGCATGTAGCAGATGCTTAATAAAAGATGAAATGAACTTTCAGTGGAGTCATTTATTTGTGATTTTCTACAGGCACTGAAAAAAAGATTAACTTCCAGGTTGTTGTCTGTAATGAACATTGTTAATTAATAATCATAATAAATATAATAAAGTAATTGATTCTACACAATGCTTAGTGTGTCATTCTGAGAGCCTCTTCATGTAGAGGTAGTAGTGGCTGATCGGTCTGTCTTTACAGTAGAAAGTTTAGCAACAGGTGTTTTTGTCTTGAAGCAGCTGCAGACAGGTTCTATACAATATTTAAGATGCAATGCAGATATTGTCCCCCCAACACCCACACACCCACATTGTGTGTGTGTGTGTGTTTATGAATGTGTGCCCACATACCCACAGTCTGATTCCGTGATGGTTCTGGAATAGGACCTGGACATCAGTATTTTTAAAGCTATCCCAGGAGATTCTAATGTGAAACTAGAACCAGAACTTTAAGCAGTTTTGTCATACAGTAGAATCACTCAGCTGTTTAAACAAAATCTTAGATGTACCTATGGAAGGTTTCATGTACTCTCTCTTATTTTAAATGTATTACTGTTGTTTGAGGAGTTTCTGTGGGACCTGAAATCTCTCCGGGCAGGCAAACCAATGAGTGAGTCCTTGACTCATTACGATGATGACCTAATTTAGATGTGTCCTTAGGCTGACTTTTTTTGTAAGTTTTAAAAATTCTTTTTCAAATATATGGAAGAGTAAGGAAAATAAGATAACAGCCTCCTATGTATGTATGAGGATAAACAGATGAGGTTTTGCCACATTTGCCACAAGTCCTTTTTTTTTTCTTAAAGAAAGAACCACTTGAAGCTTCAGTCCATGCCCTCCCCCTCCCCCGTCCCTCTGCCCAGCAGGTAACGGTTCTGCCATAGCTGGTGTTCACAAACACATTTCTTCTGTGCTTTTACCACATGTGTGTATACCCACAACAACAAACAATATACACTGTGTTTAAAAATACCCCAGCTGGTGTCATTATTCATGTTGATGTGTGTAGCTCGAGTTTAAATTGGTTTTACTAATTTATTTATCCATTCTCTGCACAGATCTACTTTCAAAGAACACTTTGTGCTTTTCCCAGCTGTGAGGTAGTAGGCATGTCTTCAATCTCGGAGTCAGATTGTCGTTGAAAACGGCCTAGATCTCAGGGTAGTTTTAAGGATTAAATGAGACGATGTGTGCAAGAGGTTCAGCACGAGGCTTGGGACACACACACGCAAACGCGCATGTGCAGCTTTATAAACACTCATATTAGCAAAATTATATAATTGCTGCAGTTATTTTGCCGGTAAATAAAATAACATGTGAAGTGCCTATCTCAATTACTCTTGAGTCCCTTTTATCTTCCCCGTTTATAATCTCCCAGGTATATTCCTTGCTGTTCTCTGCATTTTGCCATCAGAGGAAGCAGAGGACTGTGAAAAGAATACTGGCTTGCCCATCAGTGCAGGATGAATTAGCAGAGTCTGGGGAACGGGGAAAGGGGCAACTAGTTTCTCTGTGGGCTGCAGGATGGTAGAGGTAGGATGTGAGGGGCACTGCCCATGCTCCTTTTGCAGCTGATTTTAAATTCTGTTTCCTGTGATTTATTCCTCTTGAGGGCCTACTATGTGCCAAGTACTTGCCATATCCTTTATGCACATTATCTTTTGTTCAATGAATGAAAAGTCTCAGTTAATCCTTATATGCTACATTTTGCAGATTAGGACACTTAGGCTAAGAAAAAAAACTTTCTCAATATTTCTGCCTATACTGAAAGAACGTTCCCCATTAGGTCTGCCTGGTTCCAGAATGGAAAAAAAATTCCAGTGCTTCCCACCCCACCAAACAAACCAACCGAGTGAGGAAAAACACTTAAATTAACTAATTTTAATTAGAGTGACTAGAGGAAGTGAGAATATAGGCAAATAAAAGCCATTATGTAACTGTATATGATATTATACCTAAAATATTGGTCCATATTTCAAGGAGACATACCTTAAAAAGCTGAAGTATTGTTTTAGGCTTATTTCATTGGCTCTTGTCTTGAGTATGTACCCAGAAAAGTTTTTCTAGAATAAGTGAGATAGGAAAGGAAGGGGAAAAGTTGAGAGAGAATGAATGGTAATATAATTAATTAGTGGATCTTGACTGGTTTTTCCTTTAGACGTTTAACCCTGGGACTATATTCAAAGAGCACGTCTCTTCAAGGGTCCGAGATATGGGTAGGATGTACCTAGTCAGTGTTGGTGGTGGTCCTTTCACTTGTTTCTTGTTGATGTGTGAAATTATACAAGCAGTTGTGCAGATTTTTGCCCTTGGGAATCCATAAGTGCCCCCTTGAATTAGAAGGATAAGGATGCACCTGTGTCCTCATCTCCCTTGTTTTTGCTAGGGGATTCTCATCGAAACATCATCATGTGGCTGGACCACCGGGCGGTCAGTCAGGTCCACAGGATCAACGAAACCAAGCACAGTGTCCTGCAGTACGTTGGGGGCGTGATGTCCGTGGAAATGCAGGCCCCGAAGCTTCTGTGGCTAAAAGAGGTAAGTGCATAGCGTTGAGGAGCGATTACTCATAATAGCAGAGGATTCCATTTATTGAATCTATTGGTACCAGGCACCCTGCTCATCACGGCTGTTGTATTTGAATTTTGCAGCAAGTCTCAGGAAGGTTGATCCCATTTTATTGATTCGGTTGTGGTTAAGTCATTCTGCTTAACTCAGGCAAGGCACTGAAATAAGTATTTGATGCAGATTATCTCTTTGAATCCTAACGGCAACCCTATAAAGTAGTTTTTTTTCTTTTTCTGTATTTGTAAAAACTAAAGCTAATAGAGATTCGTCAGCTCACCCAAGGTGACTCAATAAGTATGCAGCAGAACCAGGATTTGAACCTAAAAATGACTGAAATTGATTTTCTTAATATCCACTGTTCTATTGAAGTTCAGAGAGGTTAATTACCATTCCAGTTAGAAAGTGGCAGAGCTGGGATTCAAATCTTCTGACTGGAACATTCTTTCTCTACATACTTTTAGCCCCCAATGATTAATCTTTGGCCTTAGTGGCATTTTATGGAATGCCTTTCTCATCTCACCTGAACTTGAGTTTCCATACCCTTTTGTGATAAGGTGATCTCTGGCTAAGGCACTTGCAGGTGGTTCCCATTTCCAGATGTTAGAATCATTTATGAAGTGTGGAGAATGGTGATGTCAGCTTAATGGTTCCCAGTAGAGATGGATGTGTGAGAAAGTTCAAGTCCTCTGGGAATTGCAGGAACTTGAAAACCCCTAGGTGGTCTGGTGAAGAGAGAATCCATCTAATGATAAGACCTGCCGTGATTCATTTACTGGCCCTGAGGTTTCAGGTGGATTGAGTCTTCAATTACTCAGATGTGGGGTTGGGGAGAGTTTAAAGGTGATGAGGAGGTGTCCTTGGATTGCCACCATGGGGCAGAAGGGAGGTAAGTAAAAAGGGCGTCAGTGATCAAGGCAGGCTTGGCTTGTTACTTGTTCAGTATATTGAGCTATTTTGTAAGTTTTAATTTGCAGAAAGACTTCTATATTTGCTAAGAGTTTGAAAACACAGAGTGTTTTAGGAGTTGGGGGTTTTAGGATCCTAATTCTGACTCTGTTTGCATCACACTGTGTGACTTTGGGCAAAGCAATTCTCATCCCCAGGCCTCACTTTTTCCATCTCTAAAGTGAGAGAGTTGGACTGGATCAGTTTGGAAACTTGATACAAAAATATCCTGAAATACAAAGCAGTGTATTGATTTGTATTTGCACTGCCTCCACACTCTGCTATGTGTGCTATAGACTTTAACTGATCTCATCCTAACAACCTCTGCCTGGTAGATGGCATGGGAAACTGAGGCTCAGAGAGAGGGTTATATGACTTTCCCAAACAGACGATACAGCCAGAATTTAAACCTGTGTCTCCTGGTCTCCAAATCCCAGCCCATCCCATTAGTCATGCAGTACTAAAATCCTCTGTGAAGCATACCACTTTGGGAAGGACCAGGAATGAGGGTGGTGATGGTCTTTAAACCGGCCTAAACATGTGCAAAAGAACAAATGGGTTGGCTATGTCACCCTTCTGGACCACAGGTGAGGAATAGCTGTTCTGAATTAAGTGAGGAGGATTGAGCAGGTGGTCATTGGTGCAATACCAGAGCCTCATTGAGCACCTGCTTCATAGCCAGCTCAGGGCTGTATATCCCAGGAGATCTAAATATACCTTTGGTATGAACCTGTCAGGATATTTACCTGTGCACTTGAGATCTAACTGCACTAAATAAAGCCCATAGAAAATAATTAAGTTCTAGATTTGTGTGGCAATGATTCTGACCTAAGACTGACCATCCATCCAGCCATCCATCCATCCATCCATCCATCCATCCATCCATCCATCCATCCATCCATCTAATCAATTCCATTTCAGAATTTTCTGAGTAAGGCTCTAAACAGTGCCTCACTGTGCATTTAACTACCTGAAGGCTGAGCCTCAAATCTGTTTTTCAGACTTTTTCAAATTTTTTTTTTTTGTCTTTTTGGTAAGCATGCCCAGGAATCCTTGCTGAGAGTTCCTTTGGTTTTACTGTGATTACAAATTCAAAATCAAAACAACTTCTAAAATCACGTTTCGTCCCTTCTCCTTAAAGCCTACCAGCATGGCTTACAGCTAGCTCTTCTCAAACTTCAATGTGTAAGTGAATCACCTGGAGAGCTTGTTAAACTGCAGACTCTAACTTAGTAGCCCTGTGGTGGCAGCTAAGAATTTGCATTTCTAACAAGCTCCCAGGTGATGCTGATGTTGCTGGCCTGCAGACTCACAAAACCACTTTCAATGCTAAAGGCTCTACCTTTGTATCCTGAAAAGCATCCGTGTGTGGAGAATCGGGAAACAGTACCTTCTTTTTATTGGGCTTGTGGGAGACTGAGGCACAGGGAAGTACAGTAGCTTGAGCTGCTGTTCAACAGCACATTCGACGTCAGAACATGAGAGTCTGTGCCAAGTGTACTGGGCTGCCATTTGTTTACTCTTCATTCATTCCTTAATTTGCCAAATCTTACCTGAGGTCCTGCTGTGAACCAGCACTGTGGTAGGAACTGGGGACATGGGCACAAAGAGGACTCGGCCTTACCCTCAAGCGGCACAGTGACCACTGGGGACAATGGTGGGGGAGCATAAGGAGAAGAGAGGCATGGAACCAGAGCCAGCAGAAGATACACTGAGCGCCGAGATGCAGGCATATGCAGAGTGCTTTCAGGGAAAATAATTTGCTTCCTGCACGAGCTACTTGAGATGAGCCTCAAGATATGAGTGGAGGTTTTGCATAGTAGAGAAGATAGGAAGGATACAGTATTCTAGAGAGAATGAGGTTCATTATGGTAAGGTGTGTAGGCCCTAGGACAGGAGCCTGGGATGCTTCCCTGAGTGTAGTAGGAAGTGAGACCAGGTAAGTAGCCTGGGCTCAGTTTGTTAAGGGCCTAGTTGGTGAGAGATTAGTGGATGGTTGTTAGGCAAGGGGGAAAGTGTCTTAGACACCTTTGGCAGGGTGAAGAGATTGGATTAGGAATGAGAAAATGTGTGTGTGGGGGAGTAAGAACCAGTTTATTTATTTATGTTTTTATTAGTACATGTGCATTTATTTATTGACCATGCCGTGCGGCTTGTGGGATCTTAGTTCCCCTACCAGGGATGGAACCTGGGCCCCAGCAGCTAAAGCACCAAGTCCTAACCACTGGACCACCAGGGAATTCCCCTAAAACCAGGTTTCTTACTTTCCTCATTATAGCACTTAGTTGGCCTTGCTTTGCCCTTAGGATAAACTCCAAAATTTGTAACCTGGCTCAGAAGATGGTGTATGACGTCATTTTCACCTCCCTCCTCTGCTTACTGTGTGTCTCTCACTTTGCTCACTCTGATCCATCCACAGGGATCCACTCAGAGTGCCTCAAACACACCAGCTCTTTGCCACCTCAGCCTTTTGACTAGGGGTTGGCAAACTAGGGCCATGGGCCAAATCTGGCCTGTTGCCTGTTTTTGGATGTCCTGGGAACTAAGAATGAGTTTTACATTTTCAGATGTTTGAAAAAGAATCAAAAGAAGAGTCATGTTTTGTGACTTGTGAAAATGATAGGAAATTAAAATTTTAGTGGCCATAAATAAAGTTTTATTGGAGCACAGCCATGCTTGTTCGTTTATCTACTGTCTGTGGTGCTTTTGCCCTACAGTGGTAGAACTGAGTATTTGAGATGGAGACTGCATGGCCTGCAAAGCTGAAAATATTTACTCTCTGGACTGTTAGAGAAAAAGTTTGCTTACCTCTGGTCTTAATGATGCTCTGATGCTGTGCCTTCTGCTTGAATATTCTTCCCTCTTCTCACCATTGATTCTAACTCATCACGTAGGTCTCAGCTTTATTGTCACATCCTTAAAAAAGCCTTTCCTGACCCTCAAATAAATCAGAGGTCTCTTGTCATCGTACTCTTAATTTTACGTCATTGTATCTTTCATAAATTGTAATGACACGTCAATTTGTATGATGATTTGTATAAAAGCTCACCCCCTCCAACCATAGTAATCCACAGGAGGATGGAGATGATATCCATTTTGTTCCTTGTTGTGTCCCTATCCCTAATTAAATGCCTGGCAGATAGTAGGTACTCAGTAAATATTGTTTGAATGATTTGAGTGGGCCAATGAGGAGCTAGTGCAGTTTTCCAGGTGAGAAGTGATGAGACCTGAATTAGGCACTGTGGGATGGAGAGGAGATGGGTTCCAGAAATCATTAGGGATTAATGTCAGCAGGATATTGGGGCTGATTGGCCATAAGGGGCGAGCTAGGTGGAGGAGTCAGCTCACCGCTTATCTCGGTATTGCTGTCATTCATGTGCTCCTTGTCCTTAGCCTGGAATCAGATGTCAGAGGGAGTTGGGCAGAATGTGGAGTTCAGACTTCTCAGAAGACAGAAGTGGTATACTAGGACCACCGTACCTTTTGGGCAAAGCCTTTACTCGGGTCCTAGTTCTGCAATATGGAATTTTAATCATGTCCTTTGCATATAAGGTTTGTGTGTTTTAGGTTGACGTACGTCTCCTTAATAAGAATTGTCAGATAAAAGGAAAAATGCCATTTGATTTTTTCATAACCCCCAGCAGTCTGGCTTCTCCATTTGGTCTCAATGATTCTGACTCTCATCTTAATGAAGGCCAAATGTAAATTAAGTTCTCTCAGGCTGGAACAGCTGGAGTCTCCTATCTTTATAAACATGAAACATTGTAGGGTAACAAGGTGCAGGCTGAGGAAGGTCAAGCAAGTTAACAGGCTGATGCCGATCCTGACAGCTCAGTGTTAATGGAAGATAATTATCTGGCTTGTAGCGGATGCATGGAGATATTCCAGTCCGTCTTTTAACTCATTTCCTCTTTTTGCTATTGTCAGCAGAACAGAAAACTAATCATTTTATAGTTTGCAATTTTCATTGTTCATTCCAAAGGTCTAGAAGCAGCTGGCTGGAATGTCAGAGGATTTTGTTGATG